ATTAACCAATCATGACAAAGAACTTGAACTCCACCATTCTTCTTTCATTCATTCATTCATATTGTTTGTTTTTCTTCTTTCATTTATTATTCGAAACATTTGTGACATAATTGTCATATATATATATATATTCTTATCTGATAATTAAATATGGATTTAAATACACAAAATGGTAATAATAATAATGGTATTCGATTGACAGGTGATGCTACTCTTAGTCCAAATGGTCAAGAAAATATTTCAGATTCGCTTTTGGATACATCAGAAATGGGTGATGAAGCTGATCTTGAATCAATGCGTAAACGTATACGAGAAATGGAAGAAGAAGCTGAAAAATTAAAACAAATGCAACTTGAAGTAGAAAAACAAATGCAATTGCCCGGTACACCGGGTACACGTAAGATTTACTTCTTTTTTTTTTTTTTGTCTTTGCTCTATTCAATTGATTACTTATTTTTGTTAATTAATTTAGCTACATTTCCAACTATTGAAGAAAAAATGGAAGCTGACCAACGATCAGTTTATGTTGGAAATGTATGTTCCAAATTGTATATATAAAATTTTTCTATATTGGTATTCTTTTTTTTTTTAGGTGGATTATTCAGCAACAGCACAAGAACTTGAAAACCATTTTCATGGTTGTGGTTCTATTCATAGAGTTACTATTTTATGCGATAAATTTACTGGACAACCAAAAGGGTATGCAAGAATTCTTCTCTGTGAAAATTTCTAATCATTAAAAAAACGTTTTGAGTCTTTTACGACGAATAAAATAATGTTAGCTAAAACATTTATGTTACAATAGAACAGTTGTTCTCAACTGATAATAATTTATTAACAGCATTTCAGATCTCAGGATAGAAATAGTGCCTTTGCAAATATATTTTTAAAAACAAGTTGATAACTTTTTAACTGTTGAATGTATAAATTAATCCATAGACAATAAGAAAAATGCAATCTGACGCTTCCGAATAGTTTCAATATTTTCTCAGAAACTGAAAACTTACGAAAGCATGTTGTGTATTAAATATGCAAGGGAGAAATGACTAGATGTGACTCCGGATAGAAGGTTGGCTTTGTACAGAATCTAGCCCTTACCATATACACTAACTAACCATAAGATTAGGTGTATATCACAACGTAGTCAGCATAATTCGAGACAAATAGCTATAGTTACTTGTCCAGGTTCACTTCATGGTTGATGCTACTGAAGTTTTCAGATAGCACCTATTGAATAGATGCTCACTAGAATGTACCAAAGTTTCATTGAAAACGTGCGTCTTCTTTACAAGCTCATGAGCTATAAAAAAAAATTTCTGTTGTTAGTGATACCAGAAAAATTTTTTGTAATCTTAAACAATGAGTATTTAAACAAATGTTTTTCTTCTAACCAAACATAGAATTGATGCTTTTCTGAAATGAATAGAAAAGTTTGTTGCTATATTTAACATATTCTATTCTTTATTTTAGATTTGCTTATGTTGAATTTGCCGATAAAGATTCTGTACAGACTGGTCTTGCTCTTGATGATTCATTATTCAAAGGACGTCAGATTAAAGTAAATATATTTAAGATTAATTTTAAGTTTTATTAACACAAAAATAAAATTCAGGTAACTGAAAAACGAACGAATCGTCCGGGTGTATCAACAACAGATCGACCTCCTCGTGGTGCACTACGTGGTTTTGGACGTGGTCGATTTCCACGTGGTACTGCTTTTATGCCATATATACCTGCATCTTATCGAGGTCGTATTGCTCGACCATTTTTTCGGTAAAAAAAATTCATTATATAAAACAATCATAGATGATTTTGTTTTTGTATTAGTGGTCGTGGTCGATCAAGTTACTTTTATTCACCATATTAAAATGATAAAATTCAATCGAACTGGTTTTGTCCCAACATTATTCTTCTTTTATGTTCATTCGTACGAAATAGGCTATCCAAAAAAAAAAAAAAACACCTGTCTTTGGACAACAATATATGCACACCTGTTTCGTTCGGTGAGGATATGTAATGTTCTTTGTCTTTGTTTTTCTTTCTCTATCACTTGTAGTTGTTTTTTCTGTGCTTATAAATCTGTATGTCTACTTATTCTCATCATCGTGGCAAAGAAAATTGTTGTATAAAAAAGAAAAAAAAAAGCCACTAAAATTTCTGTTTATTACAGAGATAAAAACAAAAATAGGCTTGATGATATGGGATTATATTTTCTCTAATTCTTTTTTCATTATTTGAGGATTACCAAAGACTAATCGATTTTTCTTTTTATTTAAAAAAAAAAGATATATAGGGAATTGTCGGCGGATATGTGTTGGCTACATCTTGATCTACTACATTCGGCCTTTCATATTTATCTGAAAAAAAAAAAAAAAAAAAAAAAAAAAAAAAATTAAAAAAAAAAAAAAAACTAAAAAAAAAAAAAAAGAAAAAAAAAAATAAAAAAAAAAAAAAAAAAAAAAAAAAAAAAAAAAAANATCCAATTCAAATTTGAAGTACACACAATTAAATGTACTATAAATACTGATAGGAAATTTTGGATATTCCTCTATTTTAAAATTAGCAGGGCAGGGCAGGGCAGGTTACAGGTTACATTAGAAAGTTTTAGGGCAGGGTCCGCAAAAATATTCACAGGGCAGGGCAGGATCAGGTTACAAAAAATTTACAGGGCAGGTTACAGGTTATAAAAATCCTGCACTCTGCAGCCCTCTATAGTTTACATGATCTATTTAAAAAAAGTCTAAATGAAAGTAAACTTTTGTTCGACTAGATTTGTTATAATTGATTTCTGAGTAGACAAAAGTGAGATTTTGTGTCGTGAAGTTACATTTTCTTTTCGTATATTTTTAACACTATATTTGTACTAAAATAAATATTAGAACTGAATGGAAGTGAATTTCAAAATTCTGTGAAGACAAAATTACGCACAGGTACTAGTTTGTATTTAAAATTGCCTCAAGTTCTGATATATTATAGGGAATCTCCTGGAAATATATATTTGTTATCTGGATTTAAATTGTATATTATTCAAATGATTCTCAGAACAAAACTAATATTCACTATCAATTATAAAAATAAAAATAGTAGACTAAGCTAAACATGTATATATGTATGTATTTTTGATTTTAGTTACAATATTAGCATCTGAAAAATATTTATCAAAAAATCCAAAGATGTGATTAGTAAATTCACATGTATATTCAGCAGTATTTTTATGCAGAAAAACAAATACAATTTACTATTAAAGAAAGTTATCGTCATATTTCAGTTCGATTTTGTTGATTAATTAAGATCAATTCGAGAAATTTCTCGGTTCAACGACATTACTTTTTTTTCTCATTACGTCAACAGATAGAAACAAGCAATAGAGAATACTGAATGTCATTGTTTATTAAAATTGTACCGAGATATATGACTAATAACAATACAATGATAACACAGGAAAAAAATAGAGCTGCGAACTTTATTTACCCTCGATCCCATATCGTGATCGATACGTGTATAGTCTCACTCATGACTTTATCCCTTGTGATCACTACCATTAAAACACCGGTAGTGATGCACTTTTTCAGTGCATGACAATTTATTAAAATTTGAATTATCATTATATACTTAATTCATTGACCCTTAACTTGTTGACAATATAAAGAAAAAAAAGATAGTAAAAACAAAATTCTATTGTAATGATTTACTAATCTTATTCAAATATTTATTCAATAATAAAGAAATCTTTTCATATTGTTATCAATCTGTTTCACCGTAGACATGTTGAACGTATAATCTTTCTTTAATTACTACATGTTAAGTTTAGAATTGTAGGTACCAAGATTTGCATTTTATCTGTGGTGTCAACATTTCAATTCGGATACTGTGTGTGTGTGGATAGTGAAGTAGAGAAGGTTAATGCTTATATCGACAATCGCTAATTGAAAGTGTTTTTCAGGTCTTTCTATTGATAAATACCGTCGTTTGAAAAATGTCGGATAGTGTAATTAGTATTTAGTTTATTTTTTTTTCTATCTAACGTGAGATTGCTGAAGTAAAATTTTGAATTTGTTTAGAAAAAAAAAATGCGTCAAAGAAATAGGAAGTTGGCAAATGACCTGACGTAAATTGATTAGATAACATGCGTGCTTCAATTAATGACAACATAAAATAAAATTAAAAAAGAGAACAGAAAAAAAAAATCAATGCAAGTTTCAACTAACTTCGATATTTTTTTCTAATCAAACTATACCATTCATTCAAAGATCATTTTTATAAAACATTAGATAAATATCTGAACAATTTATTTGTTCTGATGGTCAATAGATAATTTTAATTTAACATCTTCTGTTATGTTACTTCGTACTTTATAGATGTTCAATTAATATAGAAAGAATAATAAAACTAAAAATCTAGAATATTATATTATAATAGCAAATTGATATTTTTATTATTAAAGTAATTATATTGATAATTGATATTATAAATAGCATCGATCAAAATTTCAATCTATTCAATAATTTATTTTAAATTTACATTTATACAATAGTAAACATACATGATAATCTAGGTCAAATATTTCAAAACTATATTCAATTTTAAATAAGTATAGAATATTATATGATTCATAATATATAAAAGAAAAATATAATATTTATCTAAAATGACTGTTGAATCCTTTTGAAATAGAAAACGTAAAGGTGATCGATTGTTGGGCGTTGCAGTTTGTTTCACTGGGAAAGAGAAAAATATGAAAATAACAGATCAGATAACAAAAAAATAATCGTTGCGCTTCGGTAGTTTCTTAGTCAGGTTTTTTTTTTTATTATATATAATATTGTATGTTCTCCAATTACCGTCATGTTTCTTACACCTTCGTTTTACTTGAAAAAATTGGTAAACGTAAAGAAAAAAAAATTGCGTTTATTCATCACGAAATAGACCTATCCTGTACTTGGTTTCTATACATTAATTTATAGTTTTACTTCTCTTTTCTACGTAATTATATTGACAAGATGATAGAATTTGAAATTTTCTCTCATGATGGTCTTCGACTTTCTGGTTATGATTGGCCATCTAATCAACATCCAGATTCACCAATTGCTGTAGTAATACTTTTACATGGTATTGCAGAATATTGTGGACGATATGAACATCTTGCACAATTTTTTAATGAGAATGATATAGCAGTAGTTTCAATGGATCTTCGCGGTCATGGTTTGAGTGAAGGAAAACATACTTTTATACCGACAGCTGAATCTATATTTCAAGATATTGATTTATTAATAGAACAATCACAACATCGATATCCATCATGTCCAGCTATTCTTTATGGACATTCAATGGGTGGAACTTTAGCATTATCATATACACTTAATCGATATTCTAATGCATCAGACAAATGTCCATATCAAACTTTAATAGTATCAAGTCCTTGGATTCGTTTAGCTCGATTTCTTCAACCTCCTCGTCCAATTAATTCATTAATTCGAAAAGTTGGTCAAATTAGTCCATCATTAAAATTTCCCCTTCGATTTAATCCAGCTAAAATTACACGGAATGAAAATATTGTTTATTCTTATAGTGAAGATCCTTATATACGTCGATCAGGAACATTATCTCTTGCTCATACAATGGGTAATGTTGCAAAAACACTTGATCGATCAAGTTGTACATTTCATATACCTGTTTTAATTCAACATGGAGACGCTGATGCATTAACAAGTCATAATGCAAGTTCAAGATTTGCTGATCGAGGAAAAAATATTCAATTTAAAAGTTGGCCAAATTGTTTTCATGAATTACATAATGAACCTGAACGAGAAGAAATATTGAATTTTGTATTAGATTGGATTTGTGAGAAAATTATTGTTTAAATTATATTTTACTGATGGTGAATACAGAGAAGAAAAAAAAACATTAATGTTTATAGATTAGTTTTTATAACACGTACTGGTGACGTTTTATTCAGGAGAAGAACGATATTATATTTACTGCATCTTCTCTTTATTCTATCTATATATAAAACAGCTTGCTGATTTTTACCTATAAATTTATTTTCAATTTTGAAAAAAATATTTATAGATATTTTTGTTAATATTATTCATCAGCTATTGTCTAGCTAATTCTTTTTTTTAATATTCTATTATTTATTTATATGAGTGTGCCTTTTCTTTTTTTCTCTATTTACAAACAGTTTACAGTGTAGACTAATTGACTCCTTTTCCTTTTTTTTTCTTGTTTCTTTCCTACCATATTTTGTCTATTTCTTAACGCATTAATGTAAAACGAGAAAACTATGAAATGTACAGTATCTAATGGTATATTCATTTTGGACAATAAATAAAATTGATAAAATAAAAATTTTTACTAAAAAAAATTAGGTCAATTATTATTATCTTAAATCTAAAGTCGTATCTACAGTGTACGAAAGAAAAAATATATACTTACCAAATAAAGTCAATCATGTTTGTACGATAAACTCAATACAAGCATATTTACAACATATATTTATTATTAATTCCGCCTCTTGATAATTAATAAAACATTTGCAATTGTTGTACTGAAAAAGTCTGTCTCTATTAATCAACATACGAATTGATCTGAAAATAAATATGGGAAAAAATGATGTAATAGATTTGTTATTTTATTTAAATGCAATATAAACAAGAGTTTATTGAGAAAGCACGTCGATATTGACATATAAATAAAAATAAAATTCAAAAAAATAAAATACAAAATTGATGTTATCTTTTGTAAATCGTTATATATGAGAATAAAATATCAAATGATGTAGAATCGACTATTTGCTAATTTTTCATGTAATAAACAATCTTTGTCTTATTCTATTCTGTTGATTATCTTGGTTGATAGAACACAATGCTTTAAACTAAACAGTACATTATTAGAACATTAGTAAAAATCTTGTATATCTTAACATAAATACTCGATAGCATGAAAGACATCGCACAATATATTTTTCGACCATTAAAAAACTCTTTTTCAGGTAAGATTGAACAACTATTAGCTAATTTTGTGAAAAACTTCAAAACTGTGTTTATACAAAGCAAAATAGAAGTTTTAGTACAGTTCTTAGTATGTTTCTTGAAACAATTTCAACTCAACATTATTGTAGAGAATTGAATTCTGTACTAAATGAGCAATTAAAATAAGCGAAATCTTATCTATGCCTTTCCATTAAAGTGCTTGTTTCTAAGAAAAACACTGTTTCAAAAAATACAAAAGTTTTAAAATCTTTTATGCAAAAGTAAATAGTAAGAATTTTAGAGCAAACAAAATTGTGCCATACGAAATTGTTTGGCATTTTAAATTTGATAGGTTTCAATTGAAACTAGTATTATGTACAATCACTATTTTGAAATAATCTTATGCTAATTGTTCAATCTTTACTTCCGAAGGATATTTTAAACACATAGTCAGAAATACTGAAAAATTCACAAGTAGTCTTCAATAAAATTTGACATGATAAATTTCCAACAGGTCAAACCTTAATAATTTCACTTGTTTTTTATTTTTTTCTATGAATATAAATACCAGAAGAACAACTATTGTCTATAAGTTTCTCTAAGATAAATTTGATTTCTACAACAAACAACAATTATAAATCTGATCCAATGTTCCATTTATATCTATAGGCATTATTTACTCTTAATATGTCATATGACATCATTCATAGTTCACTATCAATAAACCATTTCTATATATATGATAAATAATTATACTGATTTCATTTTATTCGAAATAATGATAATTGTAGTTTATTAATATTCTCGATTATTAACCATAAAAATATAACATATTATGATAATTTCTTTGTGTATTAATGAAGCCGAATAAAGAACTCGATATTTAGATACAACAAGCACGTCTACACATCTGAAACAAAGAGAAAAGAATAAAGAAGATAAATAAAGCACTCCTACTTTATTTGGAGAAAACAACATATAGAGAGAAAAAAAAAGATATTTATATATATATATATATATATCTTTTCTTTTCCACTACCTAAGAAATAAAATAAACAATGAACAAAACAAATCTCTTAACATACATATTGATTATAAACATGTCAATAGAAATATAATATAAATAAAAGAAATACCTCGAGATGAACTTCTATGAATATCATAACAAATGTACTGATTATCTTACAAAACAAAGCAATCTATAGAAAAAAAATAATGATAGACAACTATAGTTACTCAATAAGATATAAGAACAAGAAAGAACAATAGAAGATAAATCTAACAGAACGACTGATATGTATGTCTTACTCTAAGTTGATTTGTCGACAAGAAAGAATCATTTGACGTTATAAAAACACTTGGTAATTGCTTATACACACTTATTTTCATCATTGTTAACGTTATCATTTGTCTATTGAGTCGGTTATAGTTTGTTTTGTTGATCGTAGTATATTTCTTTAAATAGAATTTTAAAAAAAAGTTAGTTTTATCAAATACAAAAAGTAAGTTGATCTCTTTCAATAATAACAAATCACAGCAAGATAGATTTCTATATCTAGTTTTCTGAATATGAATGTTTATTTATTATTCTCATTAATATCTTACTTCTAATTGCGACCTTGTTCTTCGTCACTCATCATTTATAGAGAAAATAGTACTTGATATAAATGTTGTTTTTTTTTCCTAACAAATATCAGCAATCTTTCATCTTTTACCATTGACATTGGCCATCTTTGATTATTTAAGAACAAATATCTTATTTTTGCGTTTTTCTCTTCTTACTAATTTTTTCAATACTAGAAAAAGAAAACCGATAATTGACCTGGAGAGATCTTATTGAAAAGCTAGATGTGTATACAAAAGAAAGACAAAAAAAGAAGAACACGAGAGGTGGTTACATTAAGGATCTATACACTAGTAATAACCGACAAAAAGAAAAGAACGATTAAAGATCGTCTTTGCTGGTCGATGACATATGGTTATTTGGAGAAAACTGATGTGTATCATCATCATCATCATCATCAGAAGTACTTTCTATTATTCATTTTAAAAAACAAAAAAAAGAAGTTATTATAGGATTTTGTGTTTTTCTTTTTTGTTTCTTTTATTTTAGGATAAATATGACAACAACACCAAATGAATTTCTTCAATTTGCGAAGAAAATGGGTCTTGATGAAATAAAATCAACGTCATTAACACCATTACCATTGTCAAATAATGATAATAATAATGGTTGTACACTAACAGGCTTATCTGTACTGAATAATCTATGTCATCTTATTGAAGACATACATAAATTAAAAATTGAAAATGAACGTTTACGTGCTCATTTGGGATTAATTAATCAGACTGAAAATTTTCTATTAAAAACTGAAGAAAGTAATAAATTAATAAATCAAAAACAAAGAAAAAAAATGATACGTTCAACAATATCCATTCATGATGGTGAAGGTGATTTGTATGAAGAAAAAAGTTCAACAATATCACCTTCAAATTCATTGAAAATTAAACAATCCGGTTCATCTACTCAATCATTAACGAGTAGAGAACGACAGGGTATAGTAATTTAAAACAAAAACAAAGAAAGAAAGATTTTTTTTTTTTCCCTTAAACTTCAGAAGTCACAGCATATCATATACATTGACAAACAAATGAATTGAGACATGAGATAGAAATTATCTCGATCAGTATTTTTGAAAAAACTGATGAAATAGATATTTTTGTTTTTTGTTTTAGTTCAATTATAAAAATCTTTATTTTATTGTCTATCTTTTCATATTTGCTGAATCTTTTACTTTTTTTTTTTTGTCTAATTTAATGCAATAAATCATTCTTATGTTAGTTTGCAACGATTATTATTCATGTGTAAAACAAAAAGGATATTCTAATGATTGACAGTAACAGAAACTTTGTAGTTAATCAAAAACTGTCAACTACAATGATTTGATATAAAAGCATATGTTATTTTCATAAAAATTTTCTATTAAAAATAATATTTTAGTATATGTTTTTTTTGTTACACAGGTGTGGATTTTATAAATAATCATGAAGATTTATCGTCGATGTCAGGTGTCGATCATGATCATTCGAAAATGATCGATAATAATTTAGGTATTCAAAATAAAATAGAATATTGCTCGTTTTTTTGTTATTATATATTTCTTTTATCAGGTGTACCTAATTTAACAAATTGGAATAGTCGAGTACGACATGCATTTAAATTTTCACTTCGACGAAAACCAACTTCACAAACAAGTCCTCTATTAATTCATACGGAACGAATAATTCCAGTTATTAATATTTCAAATGAAAATGATGATGATCATGTTCAAGATCATATAAATCAAAAGACAAAGAAAAAAATTCTAACACATACTGATAATCAACGAGCTCTTACAGGTGAAGATACTGATCAAGATGATGAATGTATTGAATTTAATAGAGTACATCATAAACGTGAACTTTACAGAAATCATACAATTAATTATTCAAGTCATGAACAACAAGATACATCAAATTTATTTCATCATTCATCGTTATTTGATGATGATAGTTCATTAAGTCACAAACAATCAAGAATTGGTATATCAAATTTTAATTATTACATTTATGTTTCTGGGTGTAGAATCTTTAGAAATTTCATGAATCATATAAAAAAGTATAGACTCATGGTGAAATTTCTATACATACATATATTGACAAAATCTCTGAAGACTTTCGAAAGTGTTCATGTTGATGGTTGAGTTGATTAGACAACTCTTAATAGAAAACTCTCCAGGGATTCCTCAGTAATCTAGGATGAAGTTGATGACTGCTGTAAAAGATCTTATATGATGTATCTGTTATTGTATCCATATATGCCACTTGTCAACGAGAAAGATTTGGTTTTCTTTTTCGCTTTTTACTAAAATAATACTTTCTATTTTAGTTGTCACTAAGATAATCCGTCATATCTTAAAACAATATTTAACAGAATTATCAATGAGGTGGACTTGACCGAAGAAAGTCGATCTATAGTTTGTCGTCTTTTGACTTGACTCAGGTCATATTTTGTCTATTGAAAACTATTTTGATTCGTGATCTGGACTCGGTTCAATCCACTGAAGCCTCTAATACTTTCCGTCAAAGTTGTTGAGAAAATCGATATAGATAGAAAATATTGATACTTACCATTGAATTTGAGATAAATCTAAATAAACAAAATATTATCTTTATTTTAATTTCTTAACTTAAAACATATATCATTTATTATTTATTCTTTAATTCTAATTTTGCTTTTGTAACAGTCCGATGCCTCCCTAGAACAAATTATTTTTGCTATATCTCTTACTTATGAATAAATGTTTATTCACTTTGTGAAATAATATCCTAGAGGAAGTTTTTTTTTTTATTTTGTCACTAATCCTTAAAAACTAAGGCTTCATCAAAGATTGCATAGTTTTCAATGGATTCATCAGTAATTCTACAAGAGTAACTCAAACCCAAGCAGACAAACTTTTGAGAAAACGCGTTTAAACGCACAGAAATTGGCCTAAAATCAGCAAAAAGTGGACGTTTTCGGATCACACTGGAGGTTCCCGCCTGTGAGCCAGAAACGCCCATTTTTCGCCCTTTTTGTGCGTTTAAACGCGTTTTCAGACAAGAAACGCGTGTACACGCATACAAA